GGCCTTTTTAGAAAGTGAACCATCGATAAGGAAATGTTGCAGTTTTCTCAAAAAATGCTTGAATTCAAGAAGTTTTAGATTTGCGTGGTTTTTTTTCAGTTGCAAAATCCACTTGAACATAACGCTGCTTTTTTCGAAGTTTCTCAAGAACCATTCGAGCCACATAATTCGTTTTGGTATCGTTGGATAGAGAATTGAAAAGTCGATTCAGTCGTAACAACGTGAGTGAGGAAATTCGAGTAGTTTTGACCCAGATAACAAAATATTAATATCAAACACTTAGGTTCAAGATTATGCCAAAATTTCATGTTTTCCGTCCCATTTTTTCTCATTTCTCGGAGGCAAAATGAGCAAGAACGCTCATTTGTACATCATTCTAGGCAGAAATAATTGGCCTTTTTAGAAAGTGAACCATCGATAAGGAAATGTTGGCAGTTTTTTCAAAAAATGCTTGAATTCAAGAAGTTTTAGATTTGCGTGATTTTTTTTTGAGTTGCAAAATCCACTTGAACATGACGCTGCTTTTTTCGAAGTTTCTCAAGAACCATTGGAGCCACAGAATTCGTTTTGGCATCGTTGGATAGAGAATTGAAGGGGGGGGGGTCATGACCCCCATGACCCCCCTGGATCCGCCCTTGACGAGGCTGTCGGTAGAAATGCCCACCAGAGTATTTTGCTTTATAGAAACAACCGACACAATAAAAGATGGCATTTCCTCTGGAATTGACTCGATGAAAGAAACGGTTCAGTCGGTATTTACCACCGCTGAAGAATCGGTGGGATCAGTAGCGCACAAGTTGGGCGAAACCCTGAGCTTAACCACGTCGAAGACGGCGGAAAATCTGAAAAACGCCCAAGAAATAACAACCGACTTAAGGTAACTTAGAAAGTGAGCCCTGGGCAGAGCACCGAAAGCCGTTTGTTTAGCGCTGCAAAAGGCGAAATGCTGAGTGGAACAGTCGACGCTGCAGCTGAAGCTGTTTCCGAAGCCGAAACTGTTGTGATGTCAGAAGCTGAACAGGCGCGCGAAGCCTTCCAATCAGGGACGTCGCCCTTTTTCGAAACCGTCCATTCTCTAGGCGATGAGGTGAAAACTCGACAACTTGTAGGTACACTTTGGCATTTGAAAGTTTAACCTTTCAGGTGGACAGCACTTTAGCAAATACCGCGGCCTTAGCTCTGGACAAGGCCGAGGACTTAGAGGTTAGTATGCACCACACACTGAAGCAGGGGGGCGAACTTTTGGAGGACTTGGAGACTGACGCAAAAGACATGCTGGGGGAGAGCGTGAAGACGATGAAGGCCCATGTGGAGGAGCTGCATGAGGGCCCACGGCCCGACAAGGAGGAGTAAGTTTCTAAGTGAGTAAAATCGCAACGGGAGGGAGTTTCTTGAGTTGTGAGTGTCGTAGGAGAACTAGAACCCCTAGTAGCAGGTACTTATTGAGTAGAACTAGACTGCTAGCTAACACCAGATAGTTCCCGTAAATGCACGTTATATCAGTGTTTAAGTATTACTATCGAATGTCCCCCGTAGCGCAACACGCTAGGTCCCGTCAACCCAGCTCTATGGGCACGAGAGCGAGGTGCGTAGCCTGTCTTTGTCGCACTTGCCGATATACCTGGGTCGATCACGAAATGTTGCCATCGACCCGCGTGTTTTGAACCCTGAACTTTGAACAGTTGTTAATTACAAGGGCTCCGAATTTGCAAAGACATGAAAGGTGTACATTATTTTTTCTAATCGCCTGGAAAAATCTAAGACACGCAATGTTCTTAATCGATTGGCCACTAGAAAAATTTCGGGAACAAAGAACGCCAGCAATTTTCCAATTTGCCCGCCCACTACCGCCCATTCCTATGCAAATCCACTCTATTTCCAGACTCATTATTCATATTAACGCCTGGATTTGCTGCATATGCGGCCTTGACGACCGCATTGGCCATTCCAGATATGCCAAACTGATAGAAAAATGGGGCCACTCTTAATTTATGCTCTTCTATAAGTGCGTAGCTGAGCAAACTATGCACGACTATAAAAATTGTTGTTCTCCAGATCAGCACCAACATTCTGGGAAGCAGCAGCCGATGCCATTTTAATGAAGAAAACCATCAAAGGCATGGATCCTGCGGAGTTTGGACAAGAGCGGATTTTCTACTCTTACAAGGAGAAAGCGGATTTGGACAACAACGGGAAAACGATCCAGGCAAATGACATTGTTGTTGAAAACACCGACAATTGATATTTAATATTGTGAATATACGTTTTACTACACAAGCAAGGGAATGTTTTATTGAGTTGGAAATATTTTTTTTGGAAAAATTCGATAATTATTACTGGTCCTAACGTCCAATGGGCGCCACGTTCGAATCATTCGGGCTGTGTTGAGAAATCAGCGTATTGAAAAGTGTTTTGAGACATTTCGGGCAATTATTGGCGCAATAACTAACTGAGATGGAAAGCTGGCAATAGCAGAGGATATTGGAGATGGAAAAAATCTTGGAGTTCTATGCAAACAACCGCAAATGTTTTTCCGGGATGCCACCACACACCGATCCCTGTTATCTTTTACTTTGGCAACGTTGCTCAACTAATCTCTCTCTATCCAAAACCGTGCGTCTGACAAAGAAAAAAATGCGCACTAACCTGTTCAGAGGTGTTCTGTGGTCAAATCCATGCGGAAGGCGCATCTTTGATCGCAACATCGCAGTTGACAATTGTGATGTCTGTCAGTGAACACAGAACACACCCCCAGCGCTCACTCGCTCACTTTCAAAACTCGCCGGACAAGTTCGGACGTGTTTTGTATTAATCTATAGTTTTCTTCTGAGGTAAGACTGATTACTACCATTTTTCATCTGCTTTTATCTGAACAATCCTCCCAGTAAATGTCTTGTAAACGGCAGGTAAGCATTCAAGTCACTGCTGGCCAGAAAGTTTCGGCGATATTTTCGTGAATTTCCTCAATTTCATGATGAAACCCAAAGTCTCGTTCGTATGAGCTTCCAAGCCCATGATTTTAGCATTTTATTACATTTCTGAGCCCATGCTTGCCTGCCTCACATTGAACCATGGCGGTGCACTTTCACTTACCCATTTTTATTACAGCATGCTCAGTGATGCCAAGCGGGCCTCCGAAGCGTTCCCAGGCCATAGGTGAGTCCCCATTTTCCAGTCAAACTGGCCTAGTTCAGCTCTAAATGATGATTCCAATAGACAAGCATATGGCTGAATTTGTAATGTCGATTAATTTGCACTGATTGTTAAGGCTTAGAAGTAGAATGCGTTTCGCGGGGCTTCGCTGGTGGTTAATTGAGTTCGTTTTGCAGGCTTTCCATCATGGCGGACGCCCCGATTGCTTCAGAAAACTTCATTATGGTGAGTTGTCCGGGTAGTTTCAGTGCCGGCATCCTTTATGGTTCACAGAATTCTGAGAAACTCGCGTAGATCGTTTTCGAGAAATTTCACAAAATACTTTTGAAAATTGCTTTCCCGAAATGACACCACTCACAACTGCGACGATGCCACTTATTTCATCCCTTGCCTGTGTTCATCATAACCTGTATTTTGAGTATTATCAAATCTTTCGCGAAACATTTTAGAATATTTTTTTTCTGTGTAAAACCTAGTAAATTTTATTTGCCACCACAAAAAAGCTAGTAGATTGAGGCATAGAATTTAAAAAAATCAAAAACCTTAGATCGCACTTATGATGCTGCACCCATTCTAACCTAAAAACGCCATTTTGATTAAAGTACCGGGTTTTGCGCTGGATTTTTGGGAGCCTTAAAGTACGCCAGCACCCCCATTTGCCCCCAAATTCGTGATGATTTATATAGACAAGCATATGACTGAAGGTTCTGTTGATACTTTCCGCTGATTATCCTTTGTAAAGTCTGCTCATACAGCTGTAGATGTTTTCTTAGAAATAACTGGGTTTCTTTTTGCAGGACTCCAAAGGAGCTTCGCACGTGGAGACGCTTTCATTGCTGCAGGTAAGCATTTTCACCACGTTGAACTATTCAATCGCTTCACTCATTAGATGATGCCTAAGACATTTGAAACCTGAACATTCCGTTGTTGATAATTTTATATTCTGATTTATTGAATGAATTTTGCCAAGCTCTTGGACAATCCAATAGAATTTCACGCAAGTTTTATCTGTTGCAGGTCTGGCGTAGTTGAAAGGTGAGTTGCAATGGCTCAGAAGCTTGGATGTTGAACAGCACAATGATGACACTAATTACCGTCTGATAGTCGAATGATTATAACTTTCGGCTGCATTTATTTGCTGATTGCCTTCAAATGGCCCCACAAAATACTGGTTGGGAGATCGCAGTACTAAACGAGTTTGTTCTAGGAGTTTTGCAGTCTAGAATGAGCAATGAGTGAAGACTGCAGAGACTAACCAGGTAAGAGCGCTTAGTATGTGTTAATTAGCCTTAATTGCTGGAAAATGATGAAAAAAATTACCGTCTGATACCCTGCAGTGATTATAACTTTTGGCTGCTTTTTAAACTGATTTGTCCCAAGCAGCACAACAGTTTTGCGTGTTTCAAGACCAGTTTTTCAACTCAAAAATGTTTATTTTTAGGTTTGGGAGAATGGAGACGCTGAGTTTCTTCGTTGGAGACCCAAAAAGGTGCGTAAAGGAACACTTTTCTATACTCTTAAACAAACGCGAAGTGACGTGATGCAAATTAAGTTATCCCTATCATAAAAACAATTGATGAGATCTTGGTATCTGATTAATCTAGTTTATAACTAGCAAGGAAAGGTGTGATGCGGCGATACTAATGGGAATTCTTTTGCAGGTTCTCTGTCCAGTAGTATCCAGTCAATCGAGGGTTCCGGACTGAATTCCTCCTAATTTTGCGGGTAAGTGTAGTCAATTTTCCGCAAATGTCCACTCGGGTTTTACATGATGTTATTTAGTTATCCCTATCATAAAAAAGTTGATGATAACTCAGGTATCTGAGCAATTTTGTCCACTTTCAAGCTCAACCTGCCCTAGTTTGGGTTTAACTAAGAACCATTTTGTATTTCCAGGTGGTGGAGCTGGGTAACATTGAGAACCATCAGCAACAGCACTGACCAAGGTAAGTGTTGGTTAAAGCTGCTAAAGAATTGCCAACAGATTTTGTCATGATGATCACAATTTATATACGCTATTTTGAGCTGAACTATGAAAACCACTTGCCCTCACTGAACCGCTCAAATCAGCCCCTTTT